AAGCACTGTGTCGCCATCAGCATCGTCGTAGTATGTCTTTGGCAGCACTCCGAGTAGCCAGCGACTTGAAAGGGTGTGCCCCATGAAGTTCAATTTGTGCTTGCAGTATCGTTCTGGGCCATGGTAGGAAGCATGACTGCCGAAACCCAATATGGAATGAGCAGAAACCACGAGTATACCTTGCTTTTTCTTGGACCTTCCCTCGTCCCCGTGAAGGAGCAGAGCTGCGCATCTCCCCAGGTTGATTTCGCCCTTCCGGGCACGATCATAAACTGGATGATTGGGATAAATCTTTTCATAGGCTCCCCAGAAGCGCCTCATTTGGAGATTGCAAACCACTGAGAGTGTGCCACAGATTGCGACCCACAAGGAACTCCAGCCATGAACTTAGCAGGATCAGAGGAATCTGTAAACAGCCAATCGATGCTTCAATGATCTGGATTGGAATTGCTAGGCGGCACCTGTGGGTCATACGGTGTGTGTCCCGCTCACTATTCCTTTCTCCGCACCGTTCCATCAAAAAGACACTACTGTTGGCTGCACTTGGCACTTCTGCAATCACTGCGCGCGCTGCCCGGATCGCTGAGCGGCAAGGGGCCTGGGCGCACACAACACTGATCAGCATTGAGAGACAAAGAGATCCAGAGATGAGAGAGGAAGGATTGAAAGTCTGAACTCTTCACAGTCTTGCAGAACACAGCTGTCAGTGCTGCAATTTATGTTTTCGCCACGCGCATGCATAGAAAGCCGAAGCAGGTAAGTGCCCGCTTCAGTGGGGCGAGAAATTCATAAGAAACATGCATACGGGCATGTGGCAGCGTTATCACGCGTGACACTGCGCAATGCAATTGACTGCTCAAGTTGGTTTGATTTTGAAACTACGAAAGACGACATATGTCATGAAAACAGCAGCATCTGATGTCTCCGCCATGAGGTTGTCGCCTCCGGATTTGATGTTGCGGCATCCAGGCACACCTTATCAGTTCTGGGTCTTCACTTTAAATAGAGGTTTTGGAATTTTACAATTCTGGGTAAGTGCGTTCGATGAGGCCACAAAGCTTTGCAGTCTAGAGTCCTCTAAAATAGTGGGTGATTATACTTATACGTGTCTCAAGGATGTCCAATTTGAGGGGCTTATCATAGGTTGATTGGTCTTTGGATTGAATGGGGTTTATATAGGGATTACATAGGGATTGGGGCTCATAGGGTTTGCAACGCCTGCTCTGCTGTGGTTTGATACTCTTACAACAGTACATATATACATATATAAATGATATATGAGTGTATGGGTTTATAAGATTGGCCATGGGACCTACACGCAGGCTCTGCCACATGGGGTTTGGGGTTTAATGAGGTTTATGAAAGGTTGAAACACATTTCGGTCTTGCTGAATGAATGCCGGCTACAAGAATACAACAACATGCGTGTGTATGTAAATTACAACATAATTATATAGTGTTGTTTGGTCTTCAATTGGGGTCCCAAACTTGCATGAAACTTTCTTCTAAACTGATGTTTAGGATCTCCGGTATTTATCGATCAGCGCCGCCTCTAGCATGGCCGGGGTGAATTGTTCAGGCCCAAGAAATATGACCAGCATTGACTCCCACTTGTCTCTCTCGAATTTGTAGCCAAAGCGTGGGGAATCCCAGCGATTTGCAGCATTCTGCGTGATGCCAATTTTGAATATGAAAGGGTAGAATTTGGCATGCAATGTTTCCATGCATGCCACAGCATGTGACAAAATGCCACCAGCTGTTTTTTGCTTCGGCAGCTTCCAAGAAATATTGGGGTGCGCGTCAATGCTTTGTAGGGTCTCAAGCACCACTGGGGCCGCCAAGAGGTGACTGGGAAGGTTTATGTTCATCCAGGCAGGGCGAGGTTTTGTGGAAAGTCGCTCTAAAAGGTCAATGGATGCCTCCCTTCTTTCATCTTCAGAGCTAGGTCCCGGAGAGCTGGATGTACAAGGTGAGGCGCAGGTGGCAGGCGGCTTCGGCCATGGAAAAGCCCCATCAGATTCCTTAGAACAATAACAAGTCACGAAATGCAGTTGCAGACTCTTCTGTGTTTAAGGTATACATTTCCTTGATTTTGGTGACATGTAGAATGGGGTCTAGGGGCCTATCTAGGATTATATATATAGTGTAACGTAAATTATAAACATTATAATGGAAATCCTGTCGCGCTGAAACAAAAGTCAAGTAGCAGCACGATGGCTCGTCAGGAGGTCCCATAGTTCCAGTTCTGGATCTTCGTGTAACACACGCATGGGTCCCTATACATATATTTACTGCTGCATGAGCCCGCGCGGCAAGCTTTGTGTGGGAAACAATTCACATCTCACAACAAGATCTGCGCTGAGCAGAGCGACCAAAGTATCAATGCCCAGGGCCCAGACGCCGTCTCCGATTTCCTGCACCCATCGTCGTAGAGCAGGTCCGGCGCCTGGCATCACACGGTGTGTTACGGATTAAAGCTTTATAGCAGGTATAAACTATAGATCGAACAAAGTTGAGATTGCGGAGCTTGCTTCACGAGTAAGTTGATTTTCCATCCTTGCAAGTTCGCTGGGCCAGCGCGGCAGTCCACTGAAGCCCTGCGTGACTAAGCTCCCCCTCGTCCACAGATTTTTGGAAGTATGTAGGTACCGCTGTGAAACAATTTGTCCTGTGGTATGATTTGCTGCGACTGCTGAAGATTACAGTGCAATAGCTTGGATTATCATATGAACGAGGAGTCGTAAACAACGTGTGTTACATCCACACTCCTAGGTCCCCTATCACCTTACAGACTTTTCAGGGTTGCAATGAATCGATCTTCATTGCAAAGCTTCGCTCAGGACATGTAAAAGAAGAGTTGAAACGACTGCAAAATGTACCCCAACTCAGGTATAGTTATATATATATATAAATTCACGCTATTATATATACCTTATAATTCGATCGCCATATAGGGGGACCCGAAGAAACTCTTTAGTTTGATTGCATGCCTACACCGCCCCATAGCTAGCTAGCGCTAAAACATGCTTCACACTACCCCTCGCACATTCCCAAAAGCAACTCCTACCTTGCGAAGCCTGACTTCATGAAAACAGTTGGCAAGTAGGTCAGGCCACTTGCCCAGACCAAATCAACCGTGAATTGACATGGCTTTGAAATCTCACCTCTAGCTTTTCCTTGCCCGCTTTGCGGCCGGTGCTGAGGTGGCTTTGCGCTTCGGAGCCTTCTTTGGAGCTGGCTTGGGGCCCGGTTCCTCGGCCTCGTCGTCCTGGTTCTTCTCCATGTGCTTTCGCGCATTCCTTCAGGGGCTTTTGAGGATCATACTTTGCATCCGCGCAATGTGTGCCCGCGTGCTAACAGCTTACACGTAATTTTATAATTACCATAACCATACAAGCGCGTAGATTTGTAGGGGTATTGCCGCTACTTGGGGCTTGATTTGCTTCACTGTGCAGCTCTATATGTGTCTTGACTTTGATTAATTTCTTATGGAGGAAAACCTGAAAACCTTTAGTCACAAAAAGCCTCAGCAGAAGTGAATCTTTATAAACTTGCATATAGTACCCATGTAATGGCCTCACACGAAGTTCCAATGCCGTGGCCCGGCTAGACCTAAGTCTTCGATCACTATTGCGCGCAAGGTAAAGAGCAAAATGCACGCTATAAACCCTACATAAACACTATATATATATGTATATATATACAAAATTAATTATGAATATATATAAACCCTATGAACTCTGCATCCTATATATATCCCATAAATCTGAAGCTCCGCACCCCAAAGCCCTATGAACTCCAAACCCTATGAACCCTATAAACTAGCTTAAGAACCTGGTAAGGCATGGACACGTATGTAGCCTGCTTCATCTTCTGCTCAGCACTCTTCCACCACCTGAGCGGGGAGTCGGGCTTTATTTAGTGCGGAAACCCAAATTTTAAGGTTTATAGTGCAGTACTTCACATATATGCACAATTAAGCTGAGGAGGGCTATTGTCTCTCGAACACAAACTGGCGATCACTGAGAACTGCAGTTAAGTTTCACATGAGGGTCCCACGCAGCATTGAAACCGGAGACTTCCCCCTTGGAAAATTCCAAGTTCAATGTATCGTGCTCGGTCTCCAATTTGATAATGCTCTCGTCCAAGGTCGCCAGGTTCCTGGGAGCGGCAGCTTCCGAGAACGCAGGCAGCATGGGATGCATGTTTTTATGGGGTGCGTCCAACCGTGATAATCTGAGACCCTTACTTCTGCGCATCTGGGCATGTGCTGTAGTTCTTCTGCAAGTCTTTCCGGAGGGATCGCAGCTTCGAGCTTTTAGTCAGGAGGCCGGCCATGAACTTTTCGTAGATGGCTTTTTGCTGCAGGGGTATATACGCTAACAGGATATGTAGTGTCACGCACTTGCATGATTCAGCACTAACATGGAACATGATCGGGGTAGCCTCCATTTCAGACTTGGACTCGTTAGCCACGTTCTCATTGGCCCCAGTATTCTCGCGATCAACTGCGGAATCGATCTTCGAGAATGTATCGTCCTTGAACTCCACTGGCTTGTCGGCCTACACAGGCATGCAATGCATATGGACATTATACAGAAATGGGCCACATCGCGCCAGCGTGATAATCATCGTAGGCACGCTGCTATCGAGTCTGCAGCATCCACAACGTGCTTGGCAACAAGTGATTCTATAGATTCATCTTAGCATCCAGCCATGATCTTAATTACTTAGCTACGCAAATAGTTTAGATTAGCCTTCCCATAGGATTCCTGTAACTGCAATGGGGCTGCTGCCAGGGGCATTGTGTTAAAATAGCATACTGCAGCTGCCCGCCTGCTCGCACGTGCGCTGCATCTCAGACTTCTCCAGAGATTCTTTAGCGCTGCCCGTTTCACGAACAGTTACCCAATATTCGAGAATCCCATCATAGCAGTTGCGCCTTAGTTAGCGCAATGAAGCGGAACCAAATGTAGCATCTTCATGGAGGGGCGTCATAGATTACAATAATCGCAGCCAAGCCGACCGAATGTGCGTAGCCGGGGTTTTGTTGCACATGGCAACTGCACCCGAGATCCTTTGCCTGGGGTACAACTGCAATCAACCAACTAGAAAACTACGTAGGGAACAGGACAGCAGGAACACGGGGACTGCATGTGTAATAGAAGATGCTGAGGCTTGTACGAAGACCACTTCAATTCAGACTTCATCTGGCATTCGCTATACCAGCCCTGGTCTTTCGCAATCTCAATGACAACCTTCTTGACTATGATCCTGTAGAGCTCGCTGATGAACCTCTCCTGTGACAATGCTCATAAACCCTCTCAACAAATACAAACTACAATGCCTATAACCTTTTAATGTTCATATAGAACCACGCAAGAACAACCTTTGTAGTCAACCGTGTAGACCTAATCGAAACCCAGGCGGAATGCTATTTGCGACTATATTGTAACGGAATTTTGAACCCTCTGAAACGAACTAGGAGTAGTGTGGAATATGTTTCTAGCGCATTTTCTACAGAAACCTGATGAATTCAAAGTTCGCTTCCATATTCGCAGCTACGAGCATCGTTTCTATCAAGTTACCTGCGCTACATAAACTCCATGCACAGAAAACCACTGTCCTTGGACCAGTTGACCTGCTGCAGGACATCCGCCATTTCATCCTTCTCCGCAGTGCCTTTGTTCCAGCGATCCCTCATCCAGGCAGGAGCCTCGAGGTCACTCCTTTTCTTTTTTGGGGCAACCATCCTCCTGATCCGCTGCTTCGCCGCATTCTTGAGCATTGCCTGATTCAGCTGCAGCTAGTCAGCCATTGTATGGTTGCGTGAGAAATATTAGGCATGCATAGGAATATGGTCTGACAATCCAACACATGCGTACTTTTGCAGATGCAGATATGTCACTCTTCTACTCAGCGGTTGCCGGGCTTTGCACACACGCCTGGCACGTTGCTTTGCAGACGGCTCCGCGTCCTCTTCCTCGGCATTGTCATCACTGGCTTCCTTACAGGCTGGAGTCGGGTGTACACGGGCTGCCTAAATAATTGTTTGCTGGACCTGAGCATGAATTTTTTCGGGGCTCATAGCACACTGTACCGGAATATGGGTTATTAGAATTGCGGTTATTATATATATAATTTAATGTATAATAATAATAATAGTAACACATTATTTGGATTGATGGCTGTATAGTGATTATGGTTCTCGCGAATCATGTGGGGAAACTGCAGCGCATGATGAGAAAATGCATGTTCCGTAGATACGAACTCCAGCTCAATGAACACTGTTTGTCAAAACGGAACAAAGTTAAGAAAACCTGGAACTATTGGTCTAGAACTCGCAAAGCACATCAGCAGACCCCTGAAGCATGTAAAGGCCATAAATGTAAAATTCATGCAACCACAGTGTTTCCTTCCTCGGGAACCGAATCTGCCCCATCACGGAACAGATTCTTGCGCACTTCTGCTGTAGACTCTGCCTCACTGGCTTGAGGAGTTGCGGGCACCAGCTGCGTGGGAGGAAACGGACTCTCATCCCCAGCGTTCTCTTCCTGGCAGCCACTCATGAATTTTCTGGGCACACGTAGCAGGAAAGGAGAACTTGTAGGATGATATGGATGATCGATGGTTTTGTTTAATTCGTCCAGGCTGTGAAGAAGTAGCAGAATAGATCGAATGAGATCCATTCGCAGTCAGCCAGACCCCGCACAGCACAACCATGCCAGGCGCACAAGTTCTGGGAAATTAGCAGGAATAGTCTCGTCGGAAAGCAGAGAATCTGAAGATTGACCGTGCAGGGCAGCCTCATGGAATTCAGAGGGATTGAAACATGTGTGCCGTCATGTGCTGGCAACGCCATCGCATGATCTTCAGGTGGCCTGCCTGGTTATCTTCTTCGGTCGTGCGAGGAGCTGGAAGCTCAGTGGAAAGGCCGGCGATCTGAAGCTGCAGGTCCTCTGCAGAAATCTAGCAGAAAAATCTTGCAACCCGGAGCAATCACGACGTATTTAGAAGACCAATATAGAGTACGTGAGGCCATGCTTCGTGATTAGCACACACACACACACAGCGCCCAACACATCCTATACCTCTACTTGAGAATCTGTGTTCTATGAGGATCCACTATACAAATTGGAAGGGCGAACGGAGTTCCAGAACTATTTGGGCCCAATGCGTGGAAACAGAGTCATATAGATTATATGTGCACTGCGTGCGTGCTAGAAATCCTGTCCTGTATTTGCTTCAGCAGCTTCAGTTCCTCACTGTCTGGGGTTGCCTGGCTAGCTTCAGCAGCAACCTGCAGCACGCCTTGTTGCAAGGATTCACAGCTCCATCTGTTGGACATCTCGAAGCCCTTAAAGAAGTTACACCCCTCACCGCAGGGTCGCAAGGGCCCTTGAACAAAGACCTATACACAGAACATTACCTCAACTCGGGTCATGCCTGCTCATGCAGCACCATGTTCGCATACTTCACAAAGCCGGCTAAAGCTATTCGGAAATCCTTCTCTCTGGGTGTGGTTCATGCCACATCCAAGGCCGTGTCAAAACACGACCAAAAGCGAATTAAACACGCGCAGAAAGGCGCCAGGAGAGCATAGGGAAAAACCTGGTACTTCATTACGGGTGATTACGGGTTTTGTACGGGTGATTACGGGTTTTTTTACGGGTTGTCAAAAAGCAGGTTAATCCAAATTTCGGGTTTTGTCTGGGAAGATTTCGGGTTTTTTTGGGAAGGTTTCGGGTGTTTTTGGGAAGGTTTCGGGTTTTTCCTCCTCAACCTGCTTTCCAGCAGCCAGATTTTATAAAAGTTCTGATAAAACGCTTCCGGTCCTGATTTGGCTGTTTCGGGAGCTTTTCAGAAGCTCTAGCTTGAGCTGGTGTACTCGGGTGGAAAATAGATTTCAGCATCAGGCCAAGAGTGGGGCACATATTGCTTCCACTCAGGTGGAATACAAAGACTTTTACAGCCCCTTATGTATTCATAAGGAAAAATGAGCTTGGCATCCACGTACACTTGTTCTAACTCCTGCTCATCTTCTTCCTTCCTGCCATTCAGAAAGGTCTCCAGACCAACTACACCGCCTGCGGGAGCACGCGGACAACCTTTGGCCGTGGCCTTGAGCTCAGGCAGGATCTTGGCAATGGCCAGGCCAAATTGCACAGGATAGTTCCTTATGTTTGAATTCAGCACGCGCTCATGCCGTGTTCACAGTAAGCCTGAAAAGCCTAGCAAGTTTGATACCGTCAAGCGCCGGACACTCACCCGGACGAAGGCTAGAACACACATATGTTCCATAGCAGACCAAGAGTCTTAGATTTTAATGCCTTAGTGCCTTGGAACCGTTTGACTCCCTTCTTGTCTGTGTAGGTGGTTGCTGTCTTCACCTTTGCTTTCTGGGAAAGCATCATTTTACCTTTCAAACACTGGAGCGGGCCACGGTCCAGCAAGCGAATTGCTGCGCTGTTTGCGTAGGCGTATTGGCGCTTCAGGGATTTGGCAAAGAAAGTTCCCATGTACCATCCCACTCGGCTGACCTGGGCAATTATTGACAACTAAATCAAACATAGTTGACAACAACGGTTTCGCAGCCACGTTCGTATAATCACTTTGGAAGAAATGCTGAGGCTGCAGCTGCGCCTACTCCATCAATTTGGAAGAGGTGGATGCACAAATTTCTCCAAGCAGGGTGATATTCAGCCAAAGACCCCGAAGGCTGCTCTAATATGAAGCAGCCGCCAAGAGCTGTTGCAAGTTGGCACAACATGCATGTCCTGCAAAGAGACAATGGGAAGGACATTCTTCAGGGGCTTATCGTTTTAATTGCCGGTAATTGAACAGCTATATAGAGGGAACACGAGATTTCGAAACACCAGAAGGAAAGCTTGCTAGGACCCTTTGGTGCGACGTTTTCTTTTAGACCCATTCCGCCTTGACGGGTTCTATAGGAACATTAATAAGTATAAATAAGAACATCACACCGAACTGTGTATATAGCCTCCTAAGGTTTTTTTTAGTTTTCCAGGGTTTGACAGTTACCATGGAAGTTACACAGGACACCATCCATATACCGGGACCCCTGCCAAATTCAGGACTATTGTATCCGTGCCCAAATTATAATGTATATGATTCATGTATATGTATATATACATATATATCAGCTGGGATATTACTATCAACATCTATAAGATTAGAATTGTTAAGGGGCCAGGTTCATCTAAACATACCCTGAATGAAGGTCAATTTCCCTCCCCAAACAATCCTTGCCAGCATACAGTTGCCTTCCCTCACCGTGCGGCGGAAGAAATAGCCAGTGCTCGAGCTTTCGCTCCTCCCTGAAGTCCCCCGGTTCGTTGCGCAGAAGCTTGAACACTTCAGGCCGAACCAGGCCACAAAGTTATCCGGCTTGCACTTCAGTAAGAAAACCACTGCGAGACTTAGCTGCTGCCGCCATCAGTAATTCTTGCTTTAATGTTGCAAGCGTACACCTGCCTTTATGATCTATATACATGTACAGTACGGCAATCTCAACCCTATATAGATCTTTCTGGGCGGGTTTTATACAGGCTTCGAATCCTACTTTATTGCAACGTAACTGCAATCATAACCCTGTTCTGTCTGGCTGACCCCCTGATACAATGAAGGCCCTGATGATTCTGAAGTGGGGTTACGCGCACATCTAATTGAACTTGTTTGAGCTATAGGAGCATGCATGGGTCTTCTACCGAAGGTCACAATTCGTGATTGAAACTACTAGTTCGATCAAAAAGGGCCATTACTACTGAATCGGGGCAGGTCTTCTATATAGAGCCTCACTCCACCCTGGCGTAATTGTCCCTGTGTGGAAGCTACGACTTATGGCCACGTAGTACAATGCTGGTTGACTACCGGAAGTGTTCATGTATATTCGTTTACGAGAAATGCAACTTTTCATGAAGCTCCTCGGGTTTACTACTTTGCATGCGTTGCGCACACTCTATAGAATCTTTTTTACCGCCCCCGTGGAGACTCTGAAGCACAAAAGAGCCCCAGTAGCCCGCATGCATTCTGTAGGACGCAGACTATGAACGTAGCTAGATCTATACGTGCTACTTGTCCACAAAGAAATGATGCCTTACTTTACCCAGGCCCCTTTATAGCTGTATTAAGATGATGTTAAAGTCTCCGCACGTAACTTGGCCGGGGAACCAAAATCCAGAGGCGCTGGTAAGGTCCATGAAATTGGTTTTGCAACGAGAGCCACCATCAGAACTTGGGTCAAAGTAGTCCAGATCCAAACGGCAACCCGAAGACCCACGAAGCCTCGCAGCACGAGTGGCATTTGCCACGCCCGCAAAGTACTCGACCCAATCATAGACCTGCCGAGAATAGTAGAATAGCCCACATGGCGCAGAACAATTGCCCATGTTATAGCGAGACATATAACACTGCGTAAGAATAGTAATCAATGTTATAATGTAATGATAGTTGTACCACAATACATGATAGAAATAAAGAACCGTTCTGCATGAAAGTGGTCAAAGCAAATAACATTGTCGTGCGCATACAACAGAGCCCGCTTGATTGCTCAGCAGGCCTCAGAAAGATCGTAGAGGCCCTCGGTCCAGATGATCATCAGGACAATCGTCGCAAAAACCTGGGATTGACAGATACTGCAGCCGCTTATTCGGGTATAGGTAAATGTTTTTGGGGGGCTTGTAGCACAATTAGGGTTACACGGAGACAAGGTTCTTGTTTGAGAGGGTTCGGTTTTTGTTCTACAGGTTGCCGTGTTTGGGTTTGTTT